AGTCTGCAATAAGGTTGCGTTACATTCTAAATAGTTACCATAAATTTGCTACTTCTTCTCAGTCTTTAATGAATTTGTCATGATTAGTCAGGTTTTCATGCTGAAATATACTATTCAGCCGGTAAAATTGGAGATAGTGTGGAGTGTTATGAAGTACATGGAAAAAAAAACATTTTTTCCTAATTCTTCCTTCAATTTCTTTTTTGGCTGGGTAGGATATCTAAGGCATCGGAGCGTCCTATAAGTAGCGAAATACGGTACATGTATATAAGTTTTCAAATATTAACGTATACGTACACACATACATACATATGCATATAAAACATGCTTACCAATATATATTAAAATAAAGCATGCAGACACACATACATTGTTATTAATGGATATGTCTGACATATTTACATGTATTACGAGATGAGAACCATAAGTACAGGTATTTATGCCAAATTATCTATCATGGCCGGGTGTGGTCGTCGGGTCGCTGCGTGCACCTAATCCGCTCCTTCCACATGTTACGCTATGCATTCATTCATGTGTAGCGTGTCTTGGGCAAAGTAGACTTGAGGGTGCCCATCCCTCCCCAGCTTAGACCACAGCCAATGTCATCCGACTTGAAGGCTTGTCTTAGTCGCAGACAAGTGGCCGCTGATTCCATCACCCTGGCCGATTACTTCGGCTTAGAAAGCCATTCGATATCAATGCCCATATATGTATCAATATGAATTCCGTATATAATGGTAGCATTTTTTTCTTGTAAACATGTCTTATTTGATAAAACAGACGTTTTATGTCTACTACATTTATTGATTTTTTTTGTGTGTGTGTATGCAAATAACGTTTCACAAATGTGACTGTAGTTGATGTATAAAATAGCCAAAATTCATATTGGTTAATCAAAGCTTTTGACTTAGATGAGTCATCATCAAAGATGAGAGCAAGAAAAGAGAAGAAAATAAAATTAAGTGGTTTTTTTTTTAAGCAGCAGATTTGTTTTTTTTAACAATGTCATTATTTTATTTCACTTCTTTTTTTTAAAGTAAATCCATTGTGGTAGAACATTTAAATCGTATAACGGCAACGTGTAATGACATGTAATATTTTATATACATTCAAGAATGCAGTGTCTCATTTTACAGTTAATCTTATTAATGGGTCGTTGCTTAAGCTGAATTTAAATGGCTGTAATTAATCTTTGATCTTTTTTTTTCGCAGTTGAATTTATGAAGTACTGTAGTTTTATTAGAAAAGAATTGTCTAATATTATTATAATTACTGTGGTGCATATTGAAAACTTTGAATGAACCAATATGAATTTTAGCTATTTTATACATTAACAGCCACATTTCCAAAAGATTATTCGCACACTAGGAAAAAATATCAGTAAATTTAATAGACCTAAAAAGTCTCTCCTTTTAATAAGATATGTATCAATATAAATATAAAGGGTGTCTTTAAAGTCTGGACACATAGGAAATCTTATTAAATCTCTTTTTTTTTACCTCCAAAGATTAAACATAGTTTTGTCTAAAGAAGAAAGAATAGACTTCTTTTTCTCTGATATGCTAAAGAAGGTGTACTCAATGAAAATCACAGATGCAACACACTTGATTCAACGCATAGAGAGTGAATGAGCTAAAATTGACGATAATATGGAGTTATTGCATCGAATTCACGTGAATCTTGCAAAGCACATCAACCTTTGCATCACAAATGATGGAAATCATATTGAAGATGATATTTGTTAATATTCCAATTCAATAAAATATTTAGAATTTTATTTCTTCAAAAAAATGCATTTTTTGTCTATGTGTTCAGATTTTAAGGACACCCTGTATAACCATATATAGAACAGAATGTTATAATTTAAATTGAATACATATATGTATACACTATATATTATATAGGCTCAGCTTATATGTAGGGAGCTGAAAAGTTCTTGGTACGATTCCCCAAAATTCTGACAAAATATACACGCATCAGATTTTTAAAATGATTCTTGATCGGGCCGAGAACTTTTCAGAAAACTCCTCATGTGTGGATATACATTTACATGTATATCAGTTGGTGCTGAAATGTTCACGGCCTGACACACTTCTCAAAATCAGTATTTTGATCCTTGAAATATTGATTTTAGGAACTGTCTTGAACCAAGAATATTTCAGCACCACGTCGTAAATGTACGTATATGTATATGTATACACATATAGATGTACGCATATATGTGTGTATACATATACTAAGTATATAAACATAGTACGTATATATGTACGCAACAGACACAGACACACACACACTCACATACACACACACACACACACATATATATATATATATATATATATATATATATATATATATATATATATATATATATTGGACTCTGATTTACATGCTAGACGATTATTTTCGGCTGTTCTTTTTTGTAGCTTTTTTTTTCCTTTTGGCATTAGTTTGTTTATTTTTCAAATTAAGACACCGAAGGTTTTCTGGACGAGTATAATTTCTTATATTTATATGATTATTACTAGTATATATATATATATATATATATATATATATATATATATATATATATATATATATACACACACACTGACGTGCCAAATGTCATGGTTTGGCAATATGTAAAGGTCATGGTAGGTGGTGCCACTGTTCCTTGACGTCATGTAAATAACCAGACCTATATAATTTATCGTTTGATACATGGTGATCCAGTGTGGTATGAATTATGAGAGTTCGAACGGGGAATGATAGTGGCTACCAGACAGCTGCGGTATCCCATTTCTTAAGTTTTAGAGACTTTTGAGGTCCTTCTGTCTACGGTGTAACAGGAATAACTGATGGGAGATATTACCGCCCACTGTGGAAAGAGCCGTGGTTGACCACGAGTCCTTAATTATAATGAGAATAGATATCTGGCCAGAATTGTCAGACAAGAAATGCTGGCTCACATTGCATTTACTTTCAATGCAGGAAGCACCAGGCGTATATTCAGCAAGTCATTTCAGTGATCTTTAGTTTTTGTAAGAAAAAAAGGCGCGCAGAAGAGCCACCAAGATGCCCCTATTAACACCATGTTACCGGACAGAACGCTTCACTTGGGGTCATTACGTCGTTAATTGGAGGACTGGTAAAGTAAGGCTTTGTTCGATTAGTCACAATTCCATTTCTTTTGAACTGATATTAGGGTTCATTTGTGGCACTAGCCCTATGAGACTACTGAACATAGTTGTCAACAAGGCACTTATGGTGCGTTAGAGTTGTTAGTCCGTCTAAATACCACATTGATCAGCGTCCTGTGTATGACGATAAACTACATACGGCAGCAAAGCCTCTGATCAGGAGGTTTTGAGGAGCCTGGAACCACCTCTTAATTGCTGTTGGTAGCACTTGCTAACTTCCCAGCTATGAGCAAATAGTTAACCCACAAAATGGGGTCAAAGCACAATGAAAGTGGAAAAATACAGTTCTATAATAAAAATACCAGCAATACATTTTTGAACAAAAAATATTACCAGCAATACATTTGACTCTGGGCAAAAAACCCTCTTTACAAAAATACGTCAATGAAACCTGATCTACAAACTGTTTTCTTAGAATATATATTCTATTCATACGAACCTATCCCAAAAATAATGTCGGCATTCAATAACCCATTGAGGTTGGTAAAACAAAATAAACCATAAACTTCATTGATCGGTGATCACTTCGTGACCATTTACAGGTGTGTATATACATACATATATATATATATATATATGTGTGTGTGTGTGTGTGTGTGTGTGTGTGTGTCTGTGTGTGTTGTTCCAACAGGATAATGGGCCATTTTTTCGGGCTCAATTTGGTCAGAATTGTTTGTTTTTTAGCATTCAATGAATGGCGTGGCCACTATGTTCGCCAACATGAATCCAGTCGAACTTTCATGGGACGTGGTTGAGAGGTCCTTCCGCGCGCTAGATCATACACCAAAATATTAGGGAGCTGTAGACGGTTATTGTGATGGTATGGCTCAACTTATTCCGAGTACTCGTGAAATCGATGCCTTGGGGAGTTGCTCAACTTCTATATATATATATATATATATATATATATATATATATATATAATATTATTATCATTATTATTATTAAATAAATAAAAAAAGGGAACGATATTGTCAAAGAACGACTAAGTTTCGCGATGTCAATAGCTAAAACAAAACCCAAGGTGCAGTAACATTGGGAAACGTATAGTCAGTCATCGATAAGTATAGTGCTCGTTTTTATTTAATGATAATAGTTATTGCTCTAGATACTATTGAACACTCTTATTGACAACATATACGTTTGCTAATTTTACGTATATTAATAGGTGTTATTATATATATATATATATATATATATATATATATATATATATATAAAGAGAGAGAGAATGTGTATATGTGTTTCTATATAAGTCCATATATATATGCCCAGTAAATATATATATATATATATATATATATATATATATAAAGAGAGAGAGAGTATCTATATGAGTGTTTCTATATAAGTCCATATATAATATATATATATATATATATATATATATATATATATATATATCGAGAATTGTCAGGCAAGAGATGCTGCCTCACATTACATCTTGATTCAATGCAGGAAGTACCAAGTGTATATTCAGCAAGTCACTTCAATGATCTTTAGTTTCTGTAAAAAAAGAGAGCACAAGAGCCACTATATATATATATATATATATATATATAGAGAGAGAGAGAGAGAGAGAGAGAGGGGGGACAGGAGATAAAGTGGAGAGAGGTAATATGGAGACTTGTGAAATGAGTGCTTTAAAATGTCCAGATATTATAATTAGAATACTTATTTGCACCCAAAAGGTGCGAAAGCCCACTCCACCCTCACACACCGATATACTTCGGTTTCGAACCCCTAATCATCTGTCTTGCACAACCTTTTACGGTATCGTCTGTCTTGCAGAGCAGCCCTACTTCCAAGATTTATGACTCAACACATCGAGAATCGTCTGCTACAGATATTCATGCGAGTGACACCCAGATGCTTGAGAGGATTGTCGTCAGCCATATCGTAAGGTATGTCGCAGACGGCCGACAAAGTCTCCCTCTCCGACAGTTCGTCTTTGACGTCTTCCAGCAAGTCTTGGTGATTCTCACAACTGCGCTCCAGTTTCAGTCGGTGGATGTCATTGCGTAAAGTAAGCAGCTGCGTAGCCAAATTGTGATCAACTGCACGCATCTGACCCTGCGGGAAGAGACAACGAAAACAGTAAGTATTATTAAACAGTAAGCATAATTATATACATGGGTGTATGTGTATATGGGACTACCAAGATGAAAAATGTATAAGTAATTAATGCCTGGCTACTTCTTTCCGAGTATGGCCATCAACAATGGTAGCTCGCTCGCTCATCTGACGTCTGCTCAAGCACATCTGTCTTTTTTTCAACACCTATGAACATGGCTAGTACACTCAAACTCTCAGTCACAATGACCTGTAACTTCGTTCTAACATAGCCATCGACGGCTTCTGAACAGTTTCGTCCACCCAATTTCACGCACATGCTTTGGGTGATCCCATGATATATTTTTTCAGTCACTCCCCATCCACAGCAGTATCGATACCAAGAAACCTAAAATCGACCGTAAGATTTGAACGAGGATCTCATGGTCGAAATGCTAACATAACAGCATACGAGAAATATATATATATATATATATATATATATATATATATATATATATATATATATACAAATAGCTTTGATAAAACGAAGCACATAATATTACCGTCCAAATCAATAACTACAGAATTTACTGAAACAATTTAAAATTTGTCACAACTTCAAAAAAAAAAAGTAAGAGATTTAATTAATTCTATATGCCGTGTCCCGTCAGGACGTACGCGTTCATGACTCTCCACAACTTCCTGTCCTTTGTAGCTCTAAGTAAGTGTTTTCTTTTTACTATCTCTCCTAATCCCTGTTCTGCTAACCATTTACACGAACTCGTTAGGTAGGTTATTCGCTATTTTACTCTGCCTTGATTTTAATATGTCCTGTGAGTATCAAATTCTTCAATCCCTCTTTCCTCATTATGCACCCTAGGGATTTCACCTCTCTCTTTCTGATTCTAAGTAGAAGCGTCCTTTTTGCTTTCATTTTCCTTAAAACTTCCACGTTACTCACATGTTCAGTCCATGGTATTCTCAACATCCTTCAGCAGAAACATATTCCTGTTGTCTCAAGTCTCTTCATCTGTGATGTGATTGTTCAGCATTCACTGCTACATAGAAGGACTGATATTGCGTTATAATTCAGCGCTTTTTTCTTTGTTTCTTAATACTTTGTTTAACTTTTGAAATATATTTTTTTGTTATTCTAATCCATCTTCGGATTTCGGTGTCACATTTTCCGTCCGCTTCTAAAACAGATTCCCAGATATTTAAATTTTCGTACTTGCTTGATTTTTGGCATCTCCACTTCGTAGTCAGCATCTTGGGGTGTTCCTTTTGCTAACAACCATGCATTCTGTCTTCTTACAATTGATACTTAGTCCTTTCTTCTTGCTTTCTTTTATTACCTTTTGTATGAGTTTCTGTAATTTCTTTTCATGTCTGATTTCAATACTGCGTTAAAACCATCAGGATTGTTCCACTATAAATGTTGAATAGGTCCGGTGCGAAGACACATTTCTGTGTATTTACTGAATTCATTTTTTTATCCGTTTGCAGGCAGTTTACTCCCAGCATTAGTTCTGAATTATTCTGATAGCTTTCCCAAATAAATAAAGCTTACATAATATTTCAAGCAGTTCTTTATGACATATTTTATTAAACGGTTTTGCATCATCTATTAGAAATATACGTATACGTCCTTTTGCACTTGAACAAGAAAATTAATTAGCACAAAAATAGCAACGTTAAACCTGAAACTGGAATAGACAAAAGAAACCGCAAAAGCCTCCCAAGAAATACATTGGCAGAACATTCAGAAATTTAACTAAAATATTATATGAACATAAAACGAGATCTTTTACAAAACAAGGTACTCAATGCATTGCTCATAAGAAGTCTAACAATAATTTCAACTTAAAGAACGCAATTTTATTTAAAAGAAAGTCATTTTGGAAGGCGAAAATGTATTGAAGATGTTTCAGAATCTTCTACCGTAAATTTGCATCTAGGATCATACTGTATATCACTCTTCCTCACAAAATTACTACTAATACAATGTGGTATAATAAAAAAAAAACAATAAGGATAAAAATTAAAATAAAAACAAAAGCAATAAAAAAAAACTTCTAGCTGTATCGGACGCCAAACTTTAAACGTCGGGCATCTGTATAAACTGTAATCGGCGTTTGTTGTATTCCTCTCCCACTTTTCCCATTTTTATAGAAAAAAAAAGGTGTCATTCGTCTGAAGAAGTTCCATACCGGAATGAAACGCGTCAGTAAGTTTTTCTTTTTTGTATATATATATATATATATATATATATATATATATATATATATATAAATATATTGAACAATAAAAAAATATTAAAAATTAAAATCTTCAGACACACTGGGTTGTAGATTAATATTCTTTCGATTTTTTTTATTATTTCATTTAGATTCCTCGACTAATTTCGGCCAAAATGGCCATCATATATATATATATATATATATATATAAACAGCAATATACAGTGCTCAGTGTCTATAGCATAAAGAATCCGAAATAAGAAAACTAACCAACGAATTCCAGTCGAATACATTACATTCACTTACTTGCTAATACCCTTGCCAAAGGTATGAATACTCTTCTTCAAGTTATGGGAAAATAGCAGGACAGACCGGGTTCTGTAGACTTGGATAGCAAGTGGTCTACCGCAGAAAAAAATAGCAACCTACTGCAGGAAAACATCTGCCTCGTGTATCACGCATGGCACATAAGTGACTGACTGAATCAAGACAGAGCCGGACTAACGGGAATTATCACAGCACTGGTTTTAAAACACCCCGTTTAAAATATTATAGATATTTCGTTGGCTTCTTATTTTTCTAGTTATATATTGTCTTGAGTACAGTTTGTGGTTTTTATATGATAAATAAAAACTAAAAATCTAATTAGAACCAATATAAAAATGTTTCTTTGTGTTTACCTATGTAGCTATAAGAGCAAAGTAAGGAAGCTATATTGATGGAAAATTAAAAGTTATTTTTGACAATGTTCACCCAATATTGGCCCAAGTGCCACTCAAGGCAGAGAGTTACAGAATCTAGTTGTTGTATGAACGTAAGAGGAGGGGGTAAGACGTGCAGATTATGAAGATATGCAGGAAAGTCAACTGTTAACTCTAGACTTGAAATGGTGAAGATTGTAGTGATCGAGAAAGCATCCAATCGAGAGTCAGTTCCACAAAATAGCATTTCTTGGTAAGAAGTTCTCTGGGGTGGGGGGAACTTCCTTCTTACTAATGGAATACAAAGGGAATGGGAATTAGGGGTGAACTAACCACTTAAAATTATATTCTTGCTTATTATTTTATAATTAAACCAATTTAAAATGCATGTCTCAAAATCTGATGAAAACAGAAATATCACTTCATTTGTGCTACGGAATACATTCACACCGCTACGCAAATAAAACTGTTTGTAATTAGCATAAATATTATGACTAAAACCAGAAACCCGTCTGTGTTAAAAACAGAACCAATGAATAAACTTATACCAAAGCTTTGTTGCACTTTACTCTGACTACACGTCTACTGACGGATTCTTCAGGGTGTTTTTTTTTATACCTCCTAGATCTTAAGGGGAGGTAACTGATGATTTATCAGTACACCGTTGTAATTAGTTGACAGAGGCATTCAGAAAGCGGCTTGATAATCATGAAAATTCGCTACATTTTATAGATATATCATTTAGTTTTTCTTTTCTTTTAGTGTCCTTTCTGGATATTATGGGATAAATGAAGTGGAAACAAGTTTTATTTTGAAAACTCGAATGACATGGCCAATATTAAAAATGAATTTGTAAGTTTCGAAAATACAAATATGCAAAAATAGGTTTCATTTTTTACAACAATTTATGATTGATCTGACTTCTATTCATTAGTATGTATCTTTTTTTCAAATTCCAAGCAATGAACAAGAAAGTTACTGTGATCTTGGTATACGTTTCTACTGCAATTATTTAATTTTACTTTACGGTCATGTGCCTGTAATTCCCACAAATATTATGGCTAAAACCAGAAAATCCTTGTAGTTAGTTGACAAAGGCATTCAGAAAGTGACTTTAATCATTATGAAATTTTTATTTGCCACTTGCTAAATATTAATCGTTTAGTGTTCATTGTTTCAGTAGTGGGTCATATGTTAAGACATTGTTTATACCAGAAGAACATTCATTTTATTTTAACACAAGGTCAAGCACATATTTTATGATAGTCTTCTTCGTGTATATTATGGATAAAATAATGAAAATTAATGTTCGCGCGGTATCGTAAAAATACCGTATTTGCTTTCGCGTAAGACATTTTTTCAATTCTTTGCATGTATCTAAAAACTGTCTTGCGCTTAATACAACCGTGTTACGAATGGGAGACGGTCGAGTGCTGTAAAGGTAGGCTAAGACGTCGGATGAACCTGAGTCCCTGTCTATATTTCTGAGGTGACGTATTATGTACACTACTTACATTATTCAGACTATTGTCCTCATCTTTGTCGCCATATTTATCACAACGTTTCGGCCGTTGTACGCTCCGGCCTTCTTCAGGTGGTTGGAATGTCGTACTGAATCCTTTATTTTGCTCGCTGGGGTAGACTGTTCTAGTTCGACGCGCCATGTCTAATGGATGTCAGTTATCAGTTAACTCCTGTTAATTCATCTCTCCAAGTTCTCCATTGACTTAACCAGGTTTTGAACTCACAACTATTTGAGTCCTGTCACTGGATCTAACCAACGCCTTTATCCACACAGTGGATAAAAGCGTTGGTTAATTAGGGTGCATAATTAACCAGGCGTTGGTTAGATCAAAGAGTTCTGAGTTCAATACCTGGTTAAGGCAATGGAGAACTTAGAGGGGTGAATTAACAGGAGATAACTGATAACTGATATCCCTTAGACATGGCACGTGAAACTAGAACTGTCTATCCCAGCGAGCGAAATAAAGGGTTCAGTTCGACATTCCAACCACCTGAAGAAGGCCGGAGCGTGTAACAGCCGAAACGTTGTGTTAAATATGGTAACAAAGATGAGGACAATAGTCTGAATAATGTAAATAATGAGCCTGAGTCCGTTAGGCATAAGAATTGTTACTCGTATTAAAATATCGAAAACAAGCAAAATCACCAGTATATTGGCAAGAATTCATTCACATTTACTATATTTTACTTACTGTTTTATATCAGTTTATTTTGGTTATATGTATCAGTACCCATTGATACAAATGTACCAGTATTTCTTTTCTGCTTTGGCAAATTTAATTTACTTTCCTTTGAAGGTTAAAGCTACAATCTATATCATCCTTTAATTCCAATTTACTGTTACCTTATTCTAGCATTAACAAAATCATACATGTTCCCATACAAAAACAATTTAATATATATTTTAATAAATATATGATGAAACATACTAAAACATTTTTCTACAAAATATCCTTATACGAAATATACAATATATATAAAAATACAAATACGGTATGTCTTAAAATATATTCCACTAGTTAAACAATCGGTACTAAAAGTTTAAGAAAAAACATTTTGTGGTGTGTTCAAACAACCCACGCTACTAACGGAGGGTTAAGTCATACACCTTTGGATTTTCCACAGGTAACATCATTAAAGACAATTCGATAATTATTAGAATAATTGTTTTTGTTATACATTACGTACCAGTTCAGTTTTTATCCACTCGAGGGCGCTGTTAATCCTGTCTTTTCGTTCTTCGGTTAGCTTCCCGTCTGCTTGATCCTCTCGACTAAGATCAGGAAACCGAGGTACACCGCTTGATCCAATGTAAAGATCACGCCATTGTTGATAGCTCGGACGACGGGTGGCCAGGTTCAGTCGATTCGCCATAGCCTTAACTCCTTCCAGACCGGGAGTCGCGCTTCTGTCGTTAAAATGACTGTCAACTAAGCTGTTCAGCCTGTAGAGGCCAGAAAAGTTTCCACCAAGTCTGCTATTATTGCTGCATTCATTTCTGAATTCCAATTGTCTATCACCACTGTCGCCATATTGATAAGCGACGTCCCTAAGTTTGTAGTCAACATTATTAATCTCAACATCGTAATCACTGGTGATTATTTTACAAGGTATATTCTTGTTATTATTATTATTGTCATTGTACTTTTCCACGTTGCTATTTTTACTATTATTATCATTAATGTTATTACAGTTGTTGAGATTTCGTCTTCCATTGTTGTCACGATTAGCGTTCAATATGGCTGATAATGTTGACAGCTCAGGCACTGTAAGCGTTTCTGTATTGTTCTTATTATTGTTTGTTGAATTGGTACCTATTTCGTTTGGGGCATCGTCGAAAGTCGACGATTCCTCGTCAATACTCTCATTTTCATTAATAACAGACAAGGTTGACATTGAGTGCAGAGAGCGCATGCCTTCTGGTGTTGTCACTTTGACAGGTCCATCGCGTAACGGTGACAGGGACAGCGCCCTGATCGGTAGCGGTAAAGCGAATGACAAGGGCAATGAAAATGGACGGGTTGCAGGGATTGTCTTTTTGGCTCGCGTGGTCATTGTGCACGTCTCGGTGGACATTGTTATTTTCTGTTGCTCTGGTAGTTGTGGAGGGTCGGCGTCTTTTTTCCGGGCTTTTTTCTTTCGTCTTTTCCTTTTCTTACGCCGATTACTCCGCTGTGAATCACCCTGTTTCTGTGGCTCGTCCTCTCGCACTTCTTTTTCGTCGCTGCCGTTTAGTGCTTTTTCTTTATTGTCGCTCACCTTCCCCAATTCCTCGACGTGTGTATGGATCTCTAGACTTTCTTCCAACAAACTTTGATCATGCGAAAACGTCAACTTCTCATCTGCGACGTGGTCGTTACCATTGTCATTGTCTTCGACTTCGTCACTTGCAGATTTGCCTTGTTTTTGTATCGAGGACAAACCTTTTGACTGGATCTCGAGAAAGATATCCAGAGGCAGGTATGGTTTCGACAAGTTAGTGGGACATTCGAGTCGAAGAGTTTGATAGTCCCCATCGTTTACCTGACCCGACTCTGTCCTCTGTATTCTGCAAACCTCGGCCGTGTTTATGTCGTTATTAAATACTTCACCGGAAATTCTCTTAGACGCTTCTAAATTATTTAGGTTAGGCTTTCGTCAGGTTTCTTTTATTCAACCAATATGTAGGTCGTTCCTCACTGTTTTATTCTTTCAAAAGTTTTGCTTAGCCTGAAACGTCTGTGTATCTAGAAATAACGCAATAAATCTATATATTGCGCTTAGCACTTCAAAGATTTAAAGTGAAGATTCCAAATAAAGTTGCGAATGGATAAGCAGCACCTGAAAATAGAAAAAACACATAGTTAAATCGATAAAACAAGAGATCACACAGAGAATGGATAATTCCGTCAATACAAGGAGTACTAAAAACTAAATGGAAATCAGTTCATAGACAGACAGGGCGTAAGGGAGATAACCAGGTTTCGATTCTTCCATATATTTTGGTCTATTTTCTTATATGAAATTTTAGTTGAAAGAAATTCGTAGTTCACCCTAAAATCGTTCTTTAGTCTACGGATAAACTTTCTACAAAATGTTATTGAGAAATTTTGGCGATAATATGCGGGCAAACAATCATGGGCTAATATATAGTCTCTGTCCTAATTTTCTGGCAGATGTAAGAAAGGAAGGTTCATGCAAGCATGTAAGAAATTTAATCTACATGCACCGGGCATTCAGAGAGAAAGCAGACGCTGCAATGGACTCTTGGTTAATCTTTAAATTTCCAAAATATTTAGGATACATTTTGATTCGTAGTAATTCAGCTCCTTTTTTTTTTCATCCAAAACCAATAAAAGAGTTTTTCCCCGCCAAATTCCAAGCAGCGTATTTGAAGCCTACCTCTAAATTATTTAAGTGCGCGTTTTATTTTGGATTTGATTGTTGGAGTCAGCGAACAGCTTTTATAAGATACGGTAATGTTTAAATTATAGTGAATCAAGCAACGATTTTAAAAGTTGGTAAATTTTTAAGTAGTCAAATTCATTAATTCCCTAACTTTTTTCATGCGATTGTGGTGCGAGTCATCATAGAGTATTCATTGAGAGACGAATTCATTGTCAACAGCATTTGAAATTAGTTTTACTGGCCATCACTATTTGATGGCAATGTAAGAGACAGAAGATACTGCCTTATCTGAAATCATACGTAGTGTCATGGGTCCTTATTTATAACTACAGAATGAACTCTTCCTAACACTATGTATACTACGCCTCTCAAGAGAGATGGACGAATTGAGCCGAGCTTCTCGACTTGACGGTCGAACTCTCTGCCTTTGAGCAGAGAGGAACCTGGACGAGGCTCCGCCGAAGGGCAGAGTCTCGTTCGGGGAGGTTGACCAACCCGATCTCGTTTATACGGGTTCTACGGGCATTTTTTAGCCGAGCCTACGGGCTCGAGAAACCCACGTTAAACTCGGCCTTGTGCCACATGCAACCCTCGTAGTAGGGTGGCTAGATACCGAATCGAGTCGAGCCGATAGTAGTTCACTCCAAACCAGACTGACAGTCATACTAACACCTTCCACATCTTGTATTATTATTTCGTGTAATATACATTCGTTATTTCTACTCTTGTGTTCGTGTTGTTCTACCTTGGTCCTTACCTGGACCATAACACGTCGTAACACGTAATAAGGCAACAAAAGGTACAGGGTCATAATCTGAGTCTAAATGTTGGGAATTTTGTTGAGCTTGTTTGCAATCGAACCCCATTTAATGTTAGACTATTAGTTATAAAATTATCAGTTATACATTGTCTCTGTATCTTTGACGTTCTTATGTAAAACTGTACATGAAGTTTGGTGTATTTTCTTTTTGTGCATTTTTGATTGATTTCATAAAAGCACTCATTAGATCTTCTAGCCACTGTTACGTGACAGTGATGGATTGCCTTTGTCTAAGTGTTGGGTATAAGACCAAAACGGCGCGATGGCGACAAAAAGGCCGCGGGAATTTTGAAGTGTCAATACGCTTCCCACACCCAGGTTCGATAGACAGGTTAAGACCTCGGGTGGATAGATGCTAAGCCAACGAGCGGGCATGCGTTTCCTTGAAGTTCTCTCTCCCGCTGCTCCCTAGGATCGATACTACCACGTCTGACTCTATCCTATGATAAAACAAATAAGAAGAGTCTTTCGTTGATATCATTTATGAAGAAATGGCGGTGACGTCCGAGGTGCTGAAGCCAGTAATGATACAGTACACAACACCACAACATTTGTCAGAATAAAAAAATATTGAATTTTTTTTATCATTTTAGAGGTGGGTATCAAGTTTATAATATAAATACACGGGAAGGGACAACTCAACACCGCCGACTCAACACCGCCGACTCAACACCGGGACAACTCAGGACCGAGACAACTCAGCACCAGAAAAAAATATAACTTTTTTTTTATAACCGAATAAAAGTAATTTATTAAGTATTAAAACCTTAATTAATGAATATTACTTTAATTATGCTTAATAAAATAAATCGTAAAGAAATTTATTCTTTGATAAAGTAAAAATATTCACTAACTGGTCCTACATTGTTTTTGATTTTTATTAATGACCATCCAGATGACATCAGCACTCAAGTTGGTATCTACGCTGATAGCACAATCATTTACTCCTGTCTCAAAACTAAGTCTAATCAGTTCGACAAGGTTAAAATCGTAGCTGATATACAAATTGACCTTCAGTCTGTTAACTGGGGTAAAGGATGGCTTGTTAATTTTAGCGCTTCCAAAACTATTAATCATCTGGGAAAACCCCCTCAGCCTTCCATCAGCATGTTTGATGTTGACCTCCAGGAGAATATCTCACTGCACTTTTTTTATTCTCCAGAGTCTATCTTACATGTCTAGCTTTCGTCAATGTTTATAACATTGCTGCCACATATGGTCCGTTACTCCTGCTATCTATCTAGAGATCCTTGATAAATCCAAAGAAGAATCAGCAATATTATTGGCCCTCATCTAGTCTTGGCTTCTGCTGTCCTCCTGATTACTCTTCCTCTGTTCTCTCTCCTTATCAATGTTCCTGTTTCTAATTCACCCACGCCCAGTAATTTCTTGTGTCTCTGTGGCTTTTCTGACATGCTTGAACTGAACTCGATTAGCAAACATATACAGTGTAACCCGGATATAAGAGAGTTGTCGGGACCGGAGAAGAAGTCTCTTATATCCGGGTTTCTCTTATATCCGGGTTTGGTCTATTTTATATACATTAACACGGGCTCTAATTTGGGACCAGAGAAAATCTCTCTTATATATCCGGGTTTCTCTTATATCCGGGATTACATATATATATATATATATATATATATATATATATATATATATATAAAAGAGTCCTTTTTCGTTTCATTACATTTTTGGAAGTGCTATCTGATGATCCGGCGTCCTTTAAAAGGGCTCTGGTGAAATAAATTATTATAATGGTACCTTAAAGTGGTCTGTTTTTTCTTTTAAATATTAGCTCTGGATTTACATTGAGCTCTCAGGATTTCATCCTCCTTGGGATGACCCATATGGATTACCAAGTTCTTCATAACTTATATATATATATATATATATATATATATATATATATATATAAAAAGAACAATGAAGTCAAAACTCAGAGGCGATAGGCTGTTTCATGCTAGACGCAACCGTCAGGCCGCCTGATTGCATCTAGCATGCAAAAAGCCTAACGCCTCTGAGTGTTCAATGTTCATTTTATATTTATATTTACAGACGCTCTATCTCTGATATTGAGCAATTTATCCCATAAATATAGCACACCTTAAAACTATATTTCTTCATATATATATATATATATATATATATATATATATATATATATATATATATATATATATATATTAATGTCTATATGGACAGCAACTTTTCTTTCAAACATGTTTCTTTGAATATGACAGACGAAGAAAATGTATTTAATTTTTTTATTTAGTTTTTCCATCATTCTTACACTTTTCCGTTTATATATATATATATATGCGTGTGTGAATTTTGCTAAAAATAGCAGAATGATTAATAAACTCTTCTCATAAATGGGTTCACTACTGTAGTTCAGTTCTCACTTGATACCTCACTACTGTTGTCCTGTGCCATCCTAAGCTAAGACTACTTAATATTTTAAAGACGCCTTGTCGTAAAGTAAGCATAATAAACAAAATTACATACACATAATTCTAATATCTACAGAGTGAGTCAAAAGTAGCGTCCAGATTCTGGGAAGATATATTATTCAAATATGTCTAGCACATCATTCATTCTAAGTTATTTTTTTTCTTTGAAACTTGATACAGTTCATTAATAAATTGCGTGTGTATCTTCATAAGCTTGAGGTTTTCAATCACTACTGCCTTCGCCGTATCCTGCGCATGCGCCTCTCCGACCGGATCCCCAACTCGTATATCCGCGCCAGATGCAACATTCTGGGCCTGGAAGAAACTGTTTAACAGAAGACTCCGGTGGTTCGGCCACGTGCTGCGGCAGCCTGGTGATCGTCCGTAAACGCACCCACTGGTTGGAGGAAGCACCGAGGTGGTCAACTCAAGACGTGGCTCGCAACGGTCAAAGCAGATATGGAACTCATGTCCGGTCCTCGCGTTTTCGGGATCCGACGCTGGAAACGCGAATGGCTCGATCATGCCATCGATTCTGTTGCCGATCGACGGGGGTGGATGACCTTGACGCGCGATGCGGTTAATTCAACCCACCCCGAGTGAATGCCGTTACAAGACAAGAAGAGAAGACATTAATAATTTTCTCCAAAATAAACGGTTAAACATTTTTCATCGCGTTCTTACTTCCTTGTACAGTAGAATATAAATAACAAACAATTGACTGATACCTGTAAAAACACACCAGGTGCTAAATTTGACTCAACCTCTGTGTGTGCGTATATATATATATATATATATATATATATATATATATATATATATATATATATATATAGTAATGATACAATATGGTAATCTGTATGGAATTTCCAGGGGTATATAAATCCAGGGAGAGCTCTATGTCAAAAGACAGAGCAAAATTATTATTAATTAAAAAATATCAAACACTTAAAATCCCATAGTTAATAATTTTTATTTCATCAGAGATCTAAAAAACCATCTTTCTGTCTTCAAGACCCAGTTTTCAGGTAATGAAGATTGAGAGCTGCTTTTTTAGAGCTCACATGAAACAAAAATTATTACATGTGGGATTTTAAGTGTTTGATATTCTTTAATTAATTAATAATAATAATAATAATAATATAGAAATACATTATACAGTAACCTTTTTCCACTTTGCCATACATTTTCCCCAGTTTTGTTCTTGATATATAAAAAATATATATCGTTAGATTGATAGATAGGGAAAATAGCATACAATTTTCTGCCATGTTATGTCTTGCAGATGATTCAAGTTAATTTTTTTTCTTTTCCTTTGCAAATTTTGCAACAGTTCCTTAAAAATTTTCCTCTAAGATAAATAATTAAATATTTTTCATTGAGTTCTACTTTCGTTTACAGTGAAATACAAATAACAAACAATTGACTGACAGCTGTAAAAACACACCAGGTGCTATATTTGACTCAACCTGCATGAATGCGTGTGTGCTTTTTTTACATCTGCACTTACTGAAGGAATATGAGGTGCGTGTATATATATATATATATATATATATATATATATTATAAATTAAATTGAGGCATGTTTCATTGAATAATTTAGACAAATTTTGTCTGCGTATTTTCAACTGGATCCTTTCATATTCAAGTTTTTTGGTGTCATTATTAAAAGAAGAGAGAAAATTACCGCGTTGATACATGTTATTTATTCCGAGTACTTTCCACACTAACAGCAATGTCATCACCAGAGTGTGGTTTTATTTTCAAGACAAATATACTAGTGCTCGTCATTATCAAAGACGAAATTGCTGTGTTCATCTGAAAGTTAAATTTTTTACTAGTGAAATGAAGAACGCTGGGTATAGTACAATTAGCTGAATAACGCTTCATGGGAGGTGCTGAGATTTTTTTTTAATTACTATTTAGAACTATTGGAACGAACTTCGATATTTTTAAACTATCTACTATACACGTTTTAAAACATTTAAACAGTATTTATAATTAATTTTCTAAAGCTTTGGTTTCAATTTTTTAATAAAGATAGCTTCAAGAATATATATATATATATATATATATATATATATAAGCTATCTCTATTAAATATCTTTATTAAATATATATTTTATATTATATATATATGTGTACATATTTTATATTATATATATATAGTACATATAGGGAGAGATGGGTAAAAAAATTTAATTTCGCGCATGCGCGTAGTTTGTTTTTGATTTTATTGACTGCAGAGTTTAGTAGGGCCAATTGGGTACCGTCTGTAAGAAAAAATGCACATGATGCAATTCACGCCAGAAATTTCAATGCAATTTCAGAGTGTCAACCTAAGGACAGTGCAGAGGATTCGGAAAGAGTTGAATGAGTCTAATGGTGATTACGAAGGTTTTTGGAGTGATCACTAGTGATGGAGACGTTATGCCTCCATTCATCTCCACACAGAACCTCAGACGCAACACAGAGGCCTACATCAAGTGCCTTGAAGAGGTAGTGCTGCCCTGGGTCAAGAGGGTGGCTGCTGGAAGATCCTATGTCTGGCAACAGGACTCTGCACCATGCCACACAAGCAGGAAAACCTAGTCATGGCTGTCGGACAATTTCTGCGACTACATCACTCCTTCCATTGACCATTTAAGTCCCCAGATTGCAACCCTCTTGATTACTATGTGTGGGGCGCTGTTGAAGGAGAGACTGACAAAATTCCTTGTAGCACCAAAAATGAACTGAAGGCAAGGATTACGGTAGCATTCACCAACTTAACAAGGAGACCGTCCAGAAAATTTGCCGGATATTCCGAAGTTGTTTGGAGGCCGTCGTTGAAGCCCATGTCGATTTTATTGAATACATTTACTCTTTAATATTTCAAGATATTTTTGTGTAGTTTTGGTAAATGTACCTGTTAAGATAAGATGTCAGTGTTATTTTCATTTTTGCCTAATTTAGACGACAATTTATCCATCGCACATTGTATATAGGTAAGTCAAAAGTAGCATCAAATTTCTGGAAAGTCATGTTAATATTTGTCTTACAAATGATTCATTTTCTAAGTTAATTATTTTTATTTACAACTTTGGACAGTTCCTTAATAATTTTCTCCAAAAATAAACGGTTAATCATTTTTCATTGAGTTCTACTTTCTTGCATAGTGGAATACAAATGACAACCACACCATCAAATGACAGCCGTAATAAACAAAATTCTGCCTTTAATTTTGACTCACTCTTTATAGCTGAAAGTTTGTGCTTATTTGCGCGAAACCTTGAAAATGAATTATGTAAAGTTAGTTGTCTGACCGTGTGTAAAACTATTACGTAAGACTATGACATCAACTGAATGCGGTTTTGTCATGGCATTCACAAGGACGCCCACTCTAACGGAATATAGTTTAAAGTGAGAATCACACACGTATATGGGATTGGAGACAAAAACAAATTAAGGAATGCCTTCTTACTAAAATACCTTTTAATAAAATAGGAGAGGTTTTACCTTAGCGGGGTACTTAGAGCTGAGAATAATAATAGGAGTGTATAAGAAATGTAAATTTAGCATTTATATGTACGTCCACTGAAGATCGGCTTTAAAGTGGCTGTCTCATGCGTACGTGGGACGTGAGTTTAAGTCGTTCAATATTTCTGTATTTGGACACCTTAGACCTTAGCTCTCGCTCTTAGTGTCGATACTGCTTGATGGCGAATGGCACCCTAAACTTTAGCATAATAAACGTCCATTAAAATATTTGTTTGCTTATTTATTTGTCTCCGCACGTGGTCGCCGGCAGTCAGCCCACGCTGAAAACACCGATTCCCGTTCGATCAGCGAATTTAAGTAGCGTCGATTTTATGAATAAATACCGAATGTTTCCTTATAAGAAAATGACTAATCTTACCTTTAGATTCAGCGTGTTATGAACAAACTGAAAACATTAATACGCTGTGTTCGACTTAAACTGTTTTAGACAGTTTTGATGATTTAGCAAATTATTCAAGTGTCACGTTGCAGCCAGATAAGATAGTAATATCGGATGACACATTATTACTGACTAAAAAAAAAATCATTGGAAGATGAAAACAGCTGGCCTACCTGATAGCTGAGATAGTTACGTATTTCTTGTTGGTACCAGTGGTTGATGTTTAGATACGAATAAAATCCAAGGCTTCGATTTTTTCCTAGCCGTTCGCTATGTAGCTATTTTTGTATTTATTTTCTACGGTTTATCTACCCTTTGAAGATTATTTAAAGCCAGAAAATATTTTTAGATTGCATAAGATTTTCCAAGTTTACAGCACTTGATATTTCCAAGCGATCACCATTCTAGGTACCAAATTGATGTTTAATTTCGATGGTCGTACAGAAACCGGTGTTTCAACACAATGTGGCCGTAAGCCCTCGCACTCACTGAAATGGTATGTTAAATGATACAATTGCGTAAGGACTGTCTCAACTACAATCTTCTACAACACCTTTATTTCCACTGATGAAAAAGAAATGAATTTGTCCCTTTTCGACTTATTAACTAGACTTATTGATATTTCCGTGCAATACACAATATACAAAACTGTATTAAAATTTGACAGCTTATGGCAATTAAAAAATGTATGGCTGTATTAATGTATTGTTGCAGCTCAAACCAAACACCAGGTTCGTTCTCAGGATACAGCGTCTTCCAGCCAAACGCATCCACGCGATCAAAACGTAGGATAAGAGATGGAGTCATGCCTTTCTCAAGGGCATTTGCGCGTAAGTAAATGCAACGAACTCAAATGGAATTCGAACTCAACTCTCCACGTTCTCATTCCTAAGCGTTTTCTATTATACCAACCGCACATCCCAGTTTATACCTCATAAATAATGGACTATTCTGTTTTGATTGCGTGGAAAGAGGGGAAAAGACACTTCTTGGTTTCTGTGAGTAACTAAATGAATGAAAGAAAGAAAAAAAAAGAAAGACAGAAAGATATAGAACATGTGTGTTGAACGCCTCATGCCAATACGTCATAAATAATAGACTATTCCTTTTCGATCGCGTGGAAAAAGGGGGAAAGATACTAATTGATTTCAGTGCGATAAAGAAAGAAAGAAAGAAAGAAAGAAAGAAAGAAAGAAGTGTTTAACGTCTGTTTCAGTGAAATGGAAAAGTTGCCAATTTAAAATCTTTTCATTTGTACCACCTTACTTCTTAAAATAAAGAACAGCATTAATATTTATGATTGTTATTTCAATATTTTGTTAAAGTTGTTAAGATCAAATATTTAATGATACTATATCGGAATTTCTACGGATATTTTATTGTAGAACTCACCATGAGCTTATACGTTCATTAACTTAAGAATTGGATTCACCAGGATATTTAAATAGGAATACCGTGAAATTCACACGGGTCAAAACTAATTATAATAAAGGCTTCAACGTCTTCTATTATTTAAAATTATAATAATCATAGGGAATGTATTTAGCGATGACTATATGGCATCAGTGCAAAACCGCTCTCACCGGTTAGTGGACGTGGCTGATTC